TAAATCAGAGTTATCAAAAGGTTAAAGTTAGGCTCTGAGCATCAAAGCCTAATGACCTCAAAGAAAGCCCTGATTGAAACTGCGTAAGTCTGCAAGTATGATTGAAATAATGGGATATGAGCTTGTAGGCATGCAAGTCAAGTTACGAAACCACTTGTCCTAACCTCTTAGTTTAGAGTCATTAACTTTTAACCCATCAAGGAAAGGCATGACTGGGGCTGCGTAATCTCGTAAGTCTGGTTTGGTTGATGTGAGTGAAATAAGAACCATCACTGAGCAGACAAATTGAGTCGCCTTCTTTTTGACGGCGGTTCAACACCCTCTCTCTCTCACTCTATCAATCAAGCATAAGCAGTTCCTACTCAACTTTCTATCACCGTTCCTCACATTCAACGAATTTCGTGAGCTATTACTTTCAATAGCCTCTCTTATCTTTCTTTTAACCATAGACGTACCATAATCAGCAAACCTACTAGTTTGATACCATTTTATTTCATTTCCAGTATCTACCATGTGTTCGGCCACTTCTGACCTTTGCAAGCATTTTTGTTTTCTACCAATCTTTGTAGAATAGGTCGGCATGTCTCACCAACATAACATCGACCACAGGAGCAAACAATCATATTTCTCTCTTAAAGATGGCATAATAGAAGAAAGTGTGAGTGTTTCTTTGAACACTGTTTTTATGCCCACTTTTTCACTATTTTGCCTATCTTTTTTGAGAGAAAACATGACGGCAAAATTAGGACATGGGAAGATGTCTCAGTCTGTCACTCTGACTAAATGCACTATCATACGAAATGAAGGTCCCCCTAACAATTTTATCTCACGAGATTCATCGAAACCAAGTTTCTCTTCGTATCTACTATGTAAAGACAGTCTTTCCATGCATAGGGGGCTTGTTTTTATTTAACTTTGGTATCCTTTCAAGTGTTATTTAGACCTAATACATCAAATGATCGTGCTGTCTTAATTTTATCTAAATTTCATGCCTGCCCTGGACCAGTAACTAATGTTTTCAATGACTACCATCGAAGCTCTAGCCTTAAAATAATCTCTTTAAATAGGGGAGTATTATTGTTTGATTGGTTTCTCTATTTTTCGCATTAAGTGTTGTTTTCGTGACTACCAGTAAATCAGTAATATGAGATGTATTCACCCAATTTCGTTTAAGGTGATGAAGAAATCGTAGAAGAAGAATTTTCCCACAATTATATGAGTTTAGCTGACGTTTTCATTCAATTTCACATAGTTTTGCTTTCCCTGGATGAGAACTTTCACTATATTCAAAATAAGTAAGCTTCAAATATGCCGGTGGATCGCATAAGGGCATCATGGACTGACAGTTGAATTTTCCCACAATGCTATGCGTAGGTCTCACGATGATGTTGAATTTAACTCAGTCCTGTCTCCCAAACGGAATAGATGGCCTATAGCCAGCCAGTTAGACAATACAGTCATTATCATGTGCGTCAAGGAACAACTGACGAATGGACTGGAGGGGCTGGCCAAGCGGAGATGCTGATTAGTTTCCATACGGCATACGAAGCCGGTGATCAAGGCGACTGCTCTTCAGTAAACTGGT